AAAATGTATGAAAATAAAAAACAAAAAATTACAGTAAGTGTTTAACTACAATAAAATTATTAAAAAATATAAATGAACGATAACTATTATGTTTATTTAGTGCGCTGAAGCTCTTCCTGATACATTTTTAAAAAGTCATAACAATATGGTAGTTTTAAAAAAAAAAAAATATCATGAAGCGTTGGATATTTTGGATTTGAAGTTGATTGATGTGAAGAAAAAAACTGATCTAATTAGACATGATATTAATCAGGTAATGTATAATAGTCTAAAGCAATCTAGATTTGTTTTAATGTTTCCGTTATTGCTTTAGAAAAGATCCAAGTTGAATGATTTATTTGAAAAATGGAGTGACTTACGGTCAAAGATCAGCTATGCAATGAGCAGGGATTTGAATACCGCTAAAGTGAGATAAATCACTTGCTAGTTATTTTCACGTCTAAATCAATTACAATGAAACGTTATATATTATTGTACAGTCTTTGTCAGTGCTAGAAAATCGATCTCATCAAGTCGATATGAGCAGAATGGAAGCTTCGCATGTGACACGCAAGTATAGATCAATAAGAAATCAATTGCTGGATGATTCTGTTTTGTTTGATTCAATTTTAGATAAGTTAGAAAAATCTATAGCAAATCAACAAAAAGAAATACATAGGCTCGAAGTATTATAACTATTTTATTATTATTATTATCGCGGCTATTGATTTATGTCAATGACATTTTAAATATTTTTTAAGTAGAAAATCAATGAGGAAGCTGTTCAAGCAAGAGACAAAACTAGAAATACATTACAAAAGAAAGAAATAAATGCAACCAACATCGCAAAGTTCCGTATGCGACAAGTCGAACAAATAAGGTAAACATAAAAATTATTTTAACTACCCTAAAATAAAAAAAAATGACACAATTAATTTTAGGGCTAAAGTAGAAGAGAGGAAATTAGAGTTAGAAAGATTAGAAAGAAAAATTTTCCCTCCTGGTCAAAAATTATCTCGTCATGATTCAATTCATAGTTCTTGCGATGAACAACGTTTGGTTGGTAATGAATCATCAGATAATCAAGAAGTATCAGATTCTACCTATATAAGATTAAAACAAATTACTGGTATTATATAAAATAAGAGTGAATGAAAATGAGTTATCTGCAAATGTAATTAACCTAAAAAATTGTAAAATAAACATTTTTAATAAATTAGGTTCAATCGATTCTGAAGATATAAGGAAAAAATTTGTATCTCAGAAGGAAACTAAAGAACGACTTTCTGCTTTAAAATTTAATACAGAAAAGGAAAAACAATCTCTTCAAATAACATATCAGAAACTTAGTGAAGAGTTTGAACAATGTAGATTCTCAAATGCTCAAGAAAAAGAACAGTAAGTTTCTTAAATAATAAAATATTTCTATGAGTTAATCAAATAATATATTACAAAATTTTATATTATATTTTGATTCTAATAAAAATAATATAAATTATATCATTTTAAAAAACATGGAAGTAAATTAGAAAAATAATTATTATAAATATAAAATAAAAAACTCTGTTATTAGATTTTACGATTCAATATCTTATAATTTAATTTAAAAATATATACGAAAATACAGAAAGAATAATAATATATTAATAAGAATATTAATTTTGATATAAATTTAAATTCATAATTTTTACCAGTTGTTACTATTCCTATAAATATACAAATGTTTTAAATTGACTAAAAAGCCTATAAAACCTATTTATGTACTCCATATACATGCAATGTATACAAGTTGGAAAAGATCTAACTCACAACTTCTATAACTATTGATACCATTAACATTTCGCTGTAAATTTTTCTTAATCATTTATGAATTCTAAGACTACGTTAAAATCATATTTTTTATAATTTGTTTTTAATAATTTAAAAAAATACAGTTTTCTTTTTATTTAATTATTTTACAACATTTATAATGATCAGATTTTAGAACTTCTCTTGCTAAATGATAAATGGGTCGATGATAATTTTAGAACAAATATTTATTGAATTACAAGCATTTTAGTACATAGAGTTGGAATATGGCCCAAATAAGCACAGCTCATACTAATGCATATTTATAACGTACTACACTTGTGTTATATACCTACTTTATATATTATAATAGTTGTAAGAATTGTTAATTGTATCAAAATATATAAGAGTCGTCAGATAGATTTGTTTCATTCTATATATTATTAAATCTAGGAATGAAGAAGAAAGAGACAATTTAAAACAGCAAATCTTAGAAGAAACTAATAAACTTTCTCACCGCCAAAGAGATGGGTCACAATTGTCCAATCAAATCAATCAAGTATTATTGAGATTATATAACTTGTGTCTGATTTTGAAAGATGTAGATAGTGCTCCAGTACCTGATAAGTGTCCTAGCATAGATAAAGGTGATTGGCTAATATGTTTGTTGCAAACTAAATACGAAAGTATTATCAAAAACAAAGGAGTTAGAAATATCAAAACTGAACTTGATGATGTTAATTTGGTAATTACAATTAGAGGTCCATTTTAACTTTTTAAAAATGATTAATCAATAATAATTGATATTTTTGTGTTTAAGGATAAAATTCAATTGTGGTCATTAGATGAAAATAATCTAGAGGTCGCAAACAAGGAAGAAGAAGAAAAATTAGTATCAAATAGATCTATAATTAAGAAACAAGCTCAAGTAATTTTAGACTCGAAGACAAAAAAGAAAGGTTTAAGAATAAAAAAAGGAAATTTATAATTATTTAACAAAATTTTTATTAACCATGTTATTCTAATAGAAATATTTTAATTAATTAGTCTTGTAATATTTATGTATAATTTAAGAAAATTTAAATAATCATAAATGTAAATACTGAAATTACATTTATTCTACTACTGTCATATAGTTATATAAAAATAATACTTAATTTAAAACAGTATAGACTTTTTAACTCTTAAAAATATGTATCATAAAACGTAATTAATACGTATTTTTTTTTATCATAATTTTATATAATACTTCACTCATGTAACGTCGATATTGAAGAAGCCAAGTAGTATAAGATTGGAGAATTATATAGCAACATTATATAATAATAATAATAATATTTTTTACCCTAAGGTTTTTAAATTATTACAATTATTATCATTATTTACAATGATAAAATAATGTGATTTTACTCCCTGATCATTGAATTTATATGTTTGTTTTTTTTAATTTAATAACGAGAAATGAAAATTAAAATAGAAATAAATTTAAAAATGATTAAAATTTATTGATAACCAATAATATATGATAAAAAATTTATTTTATTGAAATAACGAAATCATTAAAATTTAGATCTTTAAAGTGTCTAATTTAATTCTTAAAATGTCACCGCTCAATTTAAGTGTAGGCAAATTAATATACTTGTACGTAAATTAAGAAAATATGTGTTTATATGGCCGATTGTTAATCCTCGGCGAATATATCATTATTTTGATAAATTTAACGAAAACAATTTTATTTTCAATTAAACATGAGAAATAGTTATAACAATTATAAATATAACAAATGCACTTCACAGTAAAACTATAATATAAACTCAGACTTAAATTTCTATGTAATAAAGTAAGATAATCTCCCTTTAAGTTCTAAGTAAATTGACGTTTTTTCTTTTAAATACTAATAATTAGTTAAATCCAAAATTATTTTTGAAAAACGTAAAAAATATACTTTATTATTTTATAAATTAAATGCTCATCTAATAACTAATTTATCATATCAAAACATGTGACCAACACAACTATAATTTAAAATTATGCTAATAGTGAATAATAAATTGCTTATGATATAAATATAATATATATATATAAACAGTTGTAAATAACACAAATGTTCATTTGAATTATATTTCACATATAAATTGTGTTAAATAAAACATTTTAAAGTAATTTTTGCAATTTTTAAAGTGTTAATCTATTTTTTCTTCTTTAAAATTCATAATAAATCAAGTAGTAATTATTACATTATAAATTTCAAGAGTTGAAAAATGATTTTTAATGAATTTGATATATTGACAATAGCTTTACTGATATATAGCGTAATAGAACAAACTAAAAGTTTGTTTGGAAAATCACCCCCATTTGATTTATATTTAGAAAAAGCTCTGAAACTAGATACCGGATTTGATTACCCCAGCTATAATAAATTACGTAAGTTAAGCAATTTGAACTCTGCCAGTAACACAGATTCTTCGCTTTCATTTAAGTCAAACATGTACATTTGCGCCAAACGTAAGAAGTGAGCTTCATTTTCGTCTGTTGAAATTAATGATTTGAAGTCCAATAACAACATTTTTTGATTAACAAACCTTAAATTTAGTTGATCTATAAATGTATCTAAGTAAGGAATAAAAAAAGCAACTCGAAAATATGACTCTGGTGAATTTGTCTCAATATTTACTCTTTTCGTTTGTCTTCCTATAATATGTGGTATGGAAATATTTGTATCTAGTTTATTTGATAAAGTCAATGCATTTTCAAAAATTTTATGAAATTCAGAGTCAACATTCGATCTTAAAGTTTGAAGTTCTTTTATTGTATCTTCCGCAAGATCCATAGCTTCACCTAGATCAATATTTATTCTTTGAAGTTGTTTTGAAANTCGAAATGAATTGTATACATGGGAAAAGAGAATGTAATTCAAAAATAATTGATATTATATCTGTAATGAACCGAAGAAAAGAATCAAATAAATTTTTAATAGAAAACGATGAAGAAAACTTGATATCTTTAAAAAATATATACCTGTACGACATAATTGAAAATAAAGAGCTATTTAAAACNATTCCACTTCGAAATTATAAATAACAATTCAATTACGTACTCAAAAAGCTCAAGAAAATCATTGACAGCATGAAAACGTTCAACCCATCTAGTCGCACATAATCGTTTNCGAAGAAAATTTTGAAACAATATATAAAGAAATTCATCAAGAATACCTAGATGCAAAAAACTATTATTGGTTTGATTTGTGGTTTTATCAAGTTGGTAAATACCAACAAAAGTTATTGAATATTTTTAAAACTGTTTTACTTCACTTGATGACAAAATATGTTACGTATATTGATATATTACAAAAGACAAACTATTACATTATTCCTTTAGTTTGTCATAAAATATTTGTAATAGCTTTATCTGATAAAATTAATTTGTTCGATAAAATGGAACAAAATTGGGAACATTATCAAAACATTTTGGATTCGTTTGATGATTTACCATTATTTAAATGTTGGTTGAAGTCTTCTATTTCTGTGAAAATTTGGAATATTAAAAGTATTATGAATGACATTAAACCAAATTCTTTTAAATTTATATATAATAATATATCTGACCCACAGTATTTATTAAAATTAGAGCTCCAAAAAAATGAACTCTTCTTAAAATGTGGTTTGCAACCAAAGGATTTGAGCAATGAATATTTCTATGCAAGCGATACTATTAGCAGAATTGGATGGGCTAATAATTATGAAAGAATGATATTATACTTATACTATTTAAAGACTTTATTTAATGAAACAAGCCTAAAAATAATCCATTCATTCATAACATATTCAAATTACTTTGGACAAATGGATTTTAATCGTTCCGATGAAGAAATAAACACCGTAAGATTACTAAAATTGTAATATAGCATTAAAGTTGTGTTGTTTTAAACTCTTAAATATTTATCTAATTTTATATAATAAAATACTTATTTAAATTCTCGAATATGAAATTGTGTTTAAAAATAGTAGTTTTTCGTTATGCTTTTAAAACGATTTTTAAATTTTTGTTGTATATCAAAAAATATTTTATATAAAATGTATAATTAATATGTGTCTAAGGTGATAAATATAATTAAATATATGTTAAATGAACAGTGAATATTTCTTTTTTGTGCAATTCTATATAGTGTGTATACATATGAATCGTCCAAAGATAAATAAGATCTAAAGTTTTACCACTTTTAAGTATGGTAACTAACATATCATTAGTGACTGATGGGCTTAAATGAAATTCTTCTTTTGTAGAAATAATGTCATTAGATTTTAATTTTATATAATACAAATAGTTATAAACATTACCACAAAATAAATCCAAATAGATTATGTCCGAAATGTACTTAAAATATAATCTTTCGTTTTCTTCTGTTGTCAAAATTATTTTCTTACAATCATCATTGCTTAACTTACGTAATTTATTATAGCTGGGGTAATCAAATCCGGTATCTAGTTTCAGAGCTTTTTCTAAATATAAATCAAATGGGGGTGATTTTCCAAACAAACTTTTAGTTTGTTCTATTACGCTATATATCAGTAAAGCTATTGTCAATATATCAAATTCATTAAAAATCATTTTTCAACTCTTGAAATTTATAATGTAATAATTACTACTTGATTTATTATGAATTTTAAAGAAGAAAAAATAGATTTACACTTTAAAAATTGCAAAAATTACTTTAAAATGTTTTATTTAAACAATTTATACGTGAAATATAATTCAAATGAACATTTGTGTTATTTACAACTGTTTATATATATATATATATATACATTATATTTATATCATAAGCAATTTATTATTCACTATTAGCATAATTTTAAATTATAGTTGTGTTGGTCACATGTTTTGATATGCTAAATTAGTTATTAGATGAGCATTTAATTTNGCTAAATTAGTTATTAGACGAGCATTTAATTTATGAAATAATGAAGTGTATTTTTTATGTTTTTCAAAAATAATTTTGGATTTAACTAATTATTAGTATTTAAAAGAAAAAACGTCAATTTACTTAGAACTTAAAGGGAGATTATCTTACTTTATTACATATAAATTTAAGTCTGAGTTTATATTATAGTTTTACTGTGAAGTGCATTTGTTATATTTATAATTGTTATAACTATTTCTAATGTTTAATTGAAAAAAAAATCGTTTTCGTTAAATTTATCAAAATAATGATATATTCGCCGAGGATTAACAATCGGCTATATAAACACATATTTTCTTAATTTACGTACAAGTATATTAATTTTCCTACACTTATTTTATGCGGTGAAATTATAGGATTAAAATTAGACACTTTAAAGATCTAAATTTTAATCATTTCGTTATTTCAATAAAAAAAAATGTTTATCATATATTATTAAAATAAATTTTAATCAGTTTTAAATTTATTTCTATTTTAATTTTCATTTCTCGTTATTAAATTAAAAAAAACAAACATATAAATTCAATGATAAGGAAGTAAAATCACATTATTTTATCATTTTAAATAATGATAATAATTGTAATAATTTAAAAACCTTAGGGTAAAAAATTTTATTATTATTATTATATAATGTTGCTATAAAATGCTCCAATCTTATACTAGTGAAGTATTATATAAAATTATGATAAAAAAAAATACGTATTAAATACGTTTTATAATACATATTTTTAAGAGTTAAAAAGTCTATACTGTTTTAAATTAAGTATTATTTTTATATAACTATATGACAGTAGTAGAATAAATGTAATTTTAGTATTTACATTTATGAATATTTAAATTTTCTTAAATTATACTTAAATATTACAAGACTAATTAATTAAAATATTTCTATTAGAATAACATGGTTAAAAAAATTTTGTTAAATAATTATAAATTTCCTTTTTTTATTCTTAAACCTTTCTTTTTTGTCTTCGAGTCTAAAATTACTTGAGCTTGTTTCTTAATTATAGATCTATTTGGTACTAATTTTTCTTCTTCTTCCTTGTTTGCGAGCTCTAGATTATTTTCATCCAATGACCACAATTGAATTTTATCCTTAAACACAAAAATATCAATTATTATTGATTAATCATTTTTAAAAAGTTAAAATGGACCTCTAATTGTAATTACCAAATTAACATCATCAAGTTCAGTTTTGATATTTCTATCTCCTTTGTTTTTGATAATACTTTCGTATTTAGTTTGTAACAAACATATTAGCCAATCACCTTTATCTATGCTAGGACACTTATCAGGTACTGGAGCACTATCTACATCTTTTAAAATCAGACACAAGTTATATAATCTCAATAATACTTGATTGATTTGATTGGACAATTGTGACCCATCTCTTTGGCGGTGAGAAAGTTTATTAGTTTCTTCTAAGATTTGCTGTTTTAAATTATCTCTTTCTTCTTCATTCCTAGATTTAATAATATATAGAATGAAACAAATCTATCTGACGACTCTTATATATTTTGATACAATTAACAATTCTTACAACTATTATAATATATAAAGTAGGTATATAACACAAGTGTAGTACGTTATAAATATGCATTAGTATGAGCTGTGCTTATTTGGGCCATATTCCAACTCTATGTACTAAAATGCTTGTAATTCAATAAATATTTGTTCTAAAATTATCATCGACCCATTTATCATTTAGCAAGAGAAGTTCTAAAATCTGATCATTATAAATGTTGTAAAATAATTAAATAAAAAGAAAACTGTAATTTTTTAAATTATTAAAAACAAATTATAAAAAAAATGATTTTAACGTAGTCTTAGAATTCATAAATGATTAAGAAAAATTTACAGCGAAATGTTAATGGTATCAATAGTTATAGAAGTTGTGAGTTAGATCTTTTCCAACTTGTATACATTGCATGTATATGGAGTNAATACAATGGATTAACGATGTATTTTACATAGCAAATAGTGTAACTCGCCACTGGTAAAATTAACAACTGAACTTGTTCAGTTTATTTAAAAAAAATCTTTACCAAATTAAAATTTTGCTTAAAATAATGAGCTTAAAAAAAAACTTTTTTGTTTCATCGACTTACCCCTTAGATAAGGTAATCCTAATTAAATTTTAAAAATAGTTTAGCTGGATCATTTTTCTTAAAAAAATTGTATTATTATGCAGTATGTTGTAAATTGTTTTTTTAAATTTCATTTTCATTATATAAGATCACTTATAAGTTTTGATAACTGAATTAACTTTACAAAAATTAATACTTTAATTATTTTTGTTGACCTGTCAACGTGTGCGACGACGTATAATATTTTATGTTTTGATAATTAGTAATATGTTTGTGCGCGTTATCGGTGTCGGTTTTGTCATAAATATCACTTTGACAAACAAGTTGGTGGCTATTAGGTTGTGTACACTCCACTCTATCTAGTTCTATAATGCATGAACCCCAATAAACGTATCATTTTCTATTACATTGTCTAGCGTAGACTTAATAACTATTATTGGTTTCTGTAATTCCTATTTTAACCACTTTCAGAAGCTCGAGACTTCTAGACGCCTCCTTCGGTCTTACCGGTACGATACATCAGTTGTCGAAAATTAACCCTATTAGGAACTGGTTGTGTCAATTTTCGTCCGTAGCGAGCATTATTTTTTGCATTATGAACGCTACAACGATTTTGGGTAATTATATTATCTTTTGTTATTGTGAGTGAATGATACACTTACTAAGCAATTTTTTTTTTGTATTACGACGTCGGCTTAACCTGCCTCCTACTTCTTAGCCTTTGGGAGTTAGTAATTTATTTGGGGTTTTTAGAGTGTGAGACACTTTTCTATGAGAGTCCTGTAGGGGCTTGAACCGTCACCGGAGTCTGTAGACGTATTAAACCTTTATTTGTTTTAAGAAGACATGTTTAAAAAAATGGAAATAAGGTGCCTGATAAACTATACTTATTTCAATATGTCACCAAGTATAATGATATCTGACAGTGATTAAAATCACTATCATAAAAAACGCTTCGATGCAAATCTGTAGATAGTGTTTAATTTTATAAAATTGATGGTTCATTCCAAAAGCTACATGATCTGCTATTTCCTTATTTATATCCTGATTAAGAGATAAAGTATATCGAATGAAAGTGGGATATAAATATTATTTCTCATAAAAAAATTGTATTGATCCACACACATTTCAATAAGTTATAAGATTATGAAGTTAAAAATGTAAAATACAAAATCGAGAATTTTCACACAAAAATAGCATTTGGTAGCCATTTTCACCGTTAAGACAAAATAAAGTCCGAAATTTTTTTTTTCCATAATAAAGTACATTACATTATCTTTAATTTAAGATATATATAAAAGTGTCAGACTTTCTGGAACACTTTCAAAAATTAAGTTGAAAAAGTTAAATTATTTGTGAAAAAGTTTGGAATTCCCCCATGTGGGCAGGTAAAGGGTCATATTTATAAAAAAAAATATACCAAATGATCGGTAAAGACATCATGCGTCTATAAAAAAAAAATTTGATTTGTTTATTTTTCAATGAGTTATAACAATTTTTAGAAAAAAATGAAAAAATTTCAAAATTTACCGATTCTAAAAATCGTAATTTTTGTGGGGATTTTTACTATTGACGATGAACGAGGGCAAAATGTTCTTTTTGAGGGTAATGTCTTCAACTAGATACGATTTGTGATCTTTTGACGTATCATTGAGAAAAATTGGTTCAGTGAGAGCTGAGAAAAATTAATGACAGACTCAGCAAAAATAAAAATAATCACATCATGTTAAAATTAATACCTTCTCAGCTTCGCATTGAAGCTAATAAATACAAAGTAAATAAATCTTAAATTGAATATAAAACAAGCATAATAATTATCGACTTATGATAATGTTCAATGTTGAATGTGAAGTTGTTGTGATTAGCTGACCAAAGTTTACTATATTCCAAAAACGGTACTGTTATGTATATTAGAACACGAATAATGTGTGCAAGTACCATGGCTCCAAACTTAACAGTCTATATTATATAGTACATTAAAGGGACTTGTAGACTTGTATTTACCCTTAAAACCAATTTTACAACACAGATTTAAATTTTTGTACAATGTAATATGATAATCACCATTTAAATTAAATTAGACATTTTTCTATCGAATACTAAAAATTAGTATATATATTAAAAATGCATTAAAAAATATGTACAAACACTAATTTTACGTATCGAAAAATAAGCTAAAGAATACATAATATAAAATTTTATTAACAAAGAATAATGAATTGCTCATACTATAAATAAATATATGAAAACAAATGTGCATTTGAATTTTATTTTATGTAAAAAGTATATAAATAACCAACTTCAAAATAATTTTTTTAACTTGCTAATAAATATACAATAATTAAATCTAACTTGAAATTCTCAATTAATCAAGAACCGACTATTTCAAAGTTTGAATAATGATTTTTAATGAATTAGGTATACTGACAATAGGTTTACTAATATATAGCGGATTACAACAGATTAAATGTTTGTTTGGAAAACCACCCCTATTTGATTTATATTTAGAAAAAGCTCTGAAACTAGATACCGGATTTGATTACCCCAGTTATAATGAATTATGTGAGTTAAGCAATGAAGATTGCAAGAAAATAATTTTGACATCAAGAGAAAACGAAAGATCATATTACAACATATTGGAAATAATCTATTTAGATTTATTTTGTGGTAATGTATTTAACTATTNTGGATTTATTTTGTGGTAATGTTTATAACTATTTGTATTATATAAAATTAAAATCTAATAACATTCTTTCTACACAAAAGGAATTAAATTTAAGCTCATCAGTCACTAATGATATGTTAGTTACTGCATTGAAGAGTGGTATAACTTTAGATCTGAATTTTAATTGGGGAATTCACATGTATACACACTATTTAGAATTGCACAGAAAAAAAAAATTACCTAAAAATAATATTTTTTTAGCATATAAAAAATTAGAAAAAAAATTGACCTTATTTAGTTTAGCGAATTGTCGCCAAAACAATAAATACAATATCGAAATGAATTCTTTGCATGGGAAAAGTGAATATAATTCAAAAATAGTTGATATTATATCTATCATGAATCGAAGAAAAGAATCTAATAAATTTTTATTAGATAACGGAGAAGAAAACTTGGTATCTTTAAAAGCTATATACCTATACGACATAATTGAAAACAAAGAACTATTAAAAACTATTATAATGGTTTTTGGCGAACAAAGCGAAGAAAATTTCAATGTAATCTACAAAGACATTCATCGAGAATACCTAGATGCAAAAAACTATTATTGGTATGATCTGTGGTTATCTCAAATTGGTAAATATCAAAATAAATTATTGAATATTTTTAAAATTATTTTACTTCACCTGATGACAAAATATCTAATTTACTTTGATAAATTACGTAAGAAAGCTCATTACTTTAAAGTCCAATACATTAGCAAAGTATTCAAAAACTTTTTTTATAAGAAAATTCACTTATTTGATATTGGAGAACAAGATGGGAGAGATTATCAGAATATTATAAATTCGTTTTTATGTGTACCACTTTCTAAAAGTTTGTTAAAAGCTTCTATTTCTGTGCAAATGTGGAATATTGAAATTATGACGAATAACATTAAACCAAATTCTTTCAAATTTGTATATGATAATATATTTGACTTGGAGTATTTATCGAGATTAAAATCCCAAAATGATGAACTCTTCTTAAAATGTGGAATGAAAAAGAAAAATTTTATCAATAAATTGTTCTATAAGATTGATAACCTTAATTTAACAGAATGGAATAATAATTTTACAAGAATGGTTTTGTACTTACACCATTTAAAATATATATTCAATGAAACAAGCCTAAAAATAATCCATTCATTCATAAAATATTCAAAGGAGTTTGGAGAATTTTATGTTACTCGTACGGATGAGGAAATGAGCACTGTAAGATTACTAGAATTGTAATGTGAGTTTAAAATTGTGTTATTGTAAACTATTGATTATTAATCTAATTTTATATAATAATATACTCATTTACATCCTTGAATATAAAATTGTGATTAAAAATAGTAGTTTTTCGTTGTACTTATAAATAATTCTTACATTTTTGCAGTTATTTTAATTTAACCTTATTTTAGTTTACTTTTAAACTTCCTATCATACTTGCAAAATATGTGTAGTGTATTTTATTTACACGATATAAACAAAAATTATAAAGTATAATGCAAATGAAAAAATGATTGCAAATAAATCTGACTCTCTAATGTCAACTCTTTTGATATTATGGATTGTAATAAATTAAATAAATCAAAATAAATGTTAATTAGCCTTTTAAAATACTACAATGACAGTTATTAAAAAGTATTATTGTGTTAAAGTATTGTTGAAACTTATAAGAAATAAATTTAATTAATTTTTAGAAACATATTTTTTGAAGTAATAATATCGGTAGTTTAAATATTTAGCTTTTTGATGGTCATCAGATCGTATTTATTGATTCACAGATAAATGTTGAAATCTGTCAACATTTTCTTAGCTTTCTCACTGTAAAGGTAGCAATGAGTTACATTTCTTGAATGTAATATTAAAAACATAAAGAGATTTAGAATATCTACAAGTAATATGCGAGGACAAAGATATGTCATTGGGGCTAATATGAAAGGAAAATACTCTGGGGTTCAGCTAAAAATACAAAATATCAATCCATGAAATTTTTTATAGTATATCTTTCTTGAAAATTGTTAGAATTAGGCTATTCAAAAAAGATAAAGTCTTTTTTAAATAATTAAAAAAGTTTATGAATTATTTTTTGCGTCTACTCAAAATTAGGCTACTTTCAGCATCGATGCCAAACATTTTTAAGAAATATTATTATGATTTTTTTTTTATCTGTTGTCACTTTTCACAGCTCTTACTGGATCTATTTCTTTCAACGATAAGTCAAAATAAATGGCTTTATAGTTTACTATATAACATATAGTAAAATTTGGTCAGCTAATCACATCGATTTCACATTCAACATTAAACACTGTTATAAGCCGATAATTATTATGCTTGTTTTATCTTCAATTTAAGATTTATTTACTTTGTCATTTTTTTTGGTTTATCTTGGTGTCATTTTGGGGTTAGTATTAAGTGCCACATTGATACATATATATATATATATATTTTTTTTTTATTTATGTTTTAATACTTAATATTAATGTTTTAAATTCATTTAATACATTAATTTAGTTCACTCCCCTTTTTTTAAGCTAAGAAGGTATTAATTTTACCATAATCCGTTTTTTTTTTGTGTCTGTTATCACTCAAACACAGCTCTCACTGGACCGATTTTTATGAATAATATGTCAAAAGATCACAAATTGTATCTAGTCAAAGACATTAACTCTTCTACGCGTTTAATCAATATCAACAATTCCACCATAGACGGTCTATTGAAGTGCTGCCAATGGTTTACTATGGAACATTATAACCGTTTATTAACCATTGATGTACCAACCATATTTATTTACAGAAATAATGCTTATTTTACTAATATGAGTATTTTAAATGTTGAATATAATTAACTAATCAACACATAATATTAATTTAATCCAGTGGCGTATTTTGAATGATTTCTCGGGGGGTGTCCAACATTTAATGAACCTCACAAACGAAAATTGTAAAAATGTTTATTGACGTAAAAAAAAACTTACTATTTTTCAAATTACTATATTGGGAATTGACAAGTAATTTGAAATTTGAAACTTTGGTATATGTCATAAAAAAGAAAATAAAGGATATTAATTATAATAATAAAAAGAATGAAGAGATGAAGGAAATAAAATAATTGGCTATATGTGTGATATTTATATTTTTTATAATTAAGAAAGAGGAATAATAATAGAATATAGATGTTATATTACTTAATACTGATAAGTGATAACCAACATTTTTTTTTTAATTACTTTTTAAATTGTTGTGAAGATACAACGATATTAAGATCTATTTTAATATTTCATGATCTTTATTTCTTATATTTTATATTTTAAAGATTATAGTTAAATTAACAATTTTTGAACTTTAAAACTAAATTTATAATATAAGATCTAGGTGTCTCTTCTTTTTACTTAGATTATCAATTACTTCACTTGTATCAATGCCAACCTCTATGTTAATGGCTAGCATAGCCAAACCATTTTACCACCCCTGTATTAAAAAAAAAAAAACTTAAAAAATCATAATTATAAAATTATAAATTAACCAATATTAATTTACTTGTGACATTGTGTTTCGCAAGTATGTCTTTATTCTTTTCAAATTAGAAAACGACCTCTCATTAGATGCAGTTGATACTGGTAAAGTTGCAAAAATCTGTAAGAGTTTAAATACATTTGGATAAATTTGGCTATTGCATAAAACTATTGCTTCCATGGCATTTCTTGGTGTATTTGATGATTTAATACTTTCTAAACGTCTTTTCCATAATTTGAACTCTGCCAGTAACACAGATTCTTCGCATTCATTTAAGTCAAACATGTACATTTGCGCCAAACGTAAGAAGTGAGCTTCATTTTCGTCTGTTGAAATTAATGATTTGAAGTCCAATAACAACATTTTTTGATTAACAAACCTTAAATTTAGTTGATCTATAAATGTATCTAAGTATGGAATAAAAAAAGCAACTCGAAAATATGACTCTGGTGAATTTGTCTCAATATTTACTCTTTTCGTTTGTCTTCCTATAATATGTGGTATGGAAATATTTGTATCTAGTTTATTTGATAAAGTCAATGCATTTTCAAAAATTTTATGAAATTCAGAGTCAACATTCGATCTTAAAGTTTGAAGTTCTTTTATTGTATCTTCCGCAAGATCCATAGCTTCACCTAGATCAATATTTATTCTTTGAAGTTGTTTTGAAAGAGGTAACCCAAAACTAAATACTTTATTCACAATAAGTAAACAAATAATAAAATCTCCTTTCAGTATTGATGTTCGTAGATTGCTTGCTTGTGATGATATTTCAGTAACACTCCACTTCGAAATTATAAATAACGATTCAATTACGTACTCAAAAAGCTCAAGAAAATCATTGACAGCATGAAAACGTTCAACCCATCTAGTCGCACATAATCGTTTTAATGTTTTTTTTGTAATACATTCTTGGCTTTCTTCGATTTGACTTTTCAACACATCTTTTCGCTTCGGGTATATAAAGAAATCTCTAACTTTAGATATTGTTCCTAAACAATTTCGTATTTCTTGTATAGAACATGAATAAGAAATAGCAAGGTTTAAAACATGAGCAGCACAATGAACATACGTCACAAGCGGGTGACTTTGGCGAATAATAGCTTGAGCTCCGTTAAATTGACCAGACATAGAAGCACATCCATCGTAACCCTGTCCTCTAAGGTATTTTGTATCTACACCAAATGAATGTAAACTTTGTATAATAATATCGGCTAAACCTTTTCCAGTAGTATCTGTCGTAGGCACAAACTGAAGAAATTCTTCCTTCATAATCATATTTTTAACATCTAAATATCGTGCACACAAAGATACTTGTTCGATTCCACCAATGTCAGCTGTTTCATCAGCAAGTATTGTGAAACATCTTTGGGCATTTATGTTTGTTACGATTTTATTTAAAATAATTTTATTGCAGGATTCAATTATTTCATTTTGAAGTGTTGCACTTGTATATTTTATTGTTCCTTCAGCTTCCAAAAATGATTTTAAATGTTTATCTCCTTGGGCTCTATATCTTAATATTTCTCTAAAATTTCCCTGATTTTCTTGGATAAGCCTGTCATTTTCTTGTTCAACAATAATTTTCCCAGAATCTCGATGTCCTCTGAGAGGAATATTTTGTTTACCACATAAAATTACGGTTTGAATTATTGGAGTTATATTTTTTCGATTTTTTCTAATTAGTTCAGCTCTTCCAGTTTCTATTTTACACGTTATAGATTTCTCAGGATGTTTTACAACATCCATAAAATTATCTGAACTTAACACACACGTTTTATGGTAACCCTTGTTAGAATGTTCTTTGAAAACAACAATAGCATTTCTCCAATTATCATATTTTTTTTTACTAATGCACCTAAGATTTGTCCGTTATTTTCATTCAATTTGGAAAAAGCTACACAGATTTGACAAAATGCACCATTTTCTTTTATCGAGTATACCAACCAAGGGAATCTTAATAGCCATGAATACTGGAACTTTAAGTATTTTGGTTTATTTTGAACTGTATATAGTTTTTGTGGGAATTTGAATGATATATTTGGCATCCAAATTTTCGTCATAACAATTAAGATATCTTCGTTCGATAACTTACGGTTAATATAAAATTCAATATCATAATTATTACTACAGTTTATGTCCTCAGTAAAAGAAATATTATTTGAGTCTTTTGTATCTAAACTTAAAGTGCGACAAATTTTAGCAGAGTCAATCGAGTTAACTGGCGAAGATGCTCGTTTATTCGTAAGAGTATCGTTGTTATGAGTTCAATTAAATTCTGAGGTAGTAGGTGTTAACTTAAAAAATGAAGCAATTGATCCTTTCTTTTTTTGTGCCATTTTTGGTAATTTTACAACACTTTTTTCCATAATTGTCGCAAACTATAATAGTTAAACAAAATTCAAAAACGTTTAATTTTTTATTTTTTCGAAAAATTCTTAAAGAACCATTTTGTAGAGTTACATACAAGTATAAGTAACTTAGAGAAAAAAAACTTAAATTGTTGAATACTAAATGAATAAAAGCAATTTGCCCTGGCCCCCTCAGCTACACCAGTCATAATATTACATAATATGATTGAAACACTCGGGCGGCAGTGCGGCATTTTTACTCTAACTGCCATCGTCGTAATGACTGCCGGATATCTGTAAAACTCGCCCAAAGAACTATTTATAGATAACGTAGATTGCAATATTGACAAAACACGAATTTTTCTATTCAGTGACAAAATATTATATTTTAATATAATTACTTACTCTTATTCTAATAGTTTATTAATCATATTAGTAGTTGATATGTATTTTTTAAGGGGAGGCTCAGTTTCAAAGACTATATTGCTAGTATAATGTATAAATGGACAGCACGGGTAAAAGGAAACAAGTAAAAATTACTAGTTTCGTTAAATATTATTTATGTATTAATATTTTTTTGGAATAGCTAACTGAAGCATAATACTGATCAAAATTATAAAATAAACTTTTACAAACTCAGTTATAAATGACTTGTTAAACTTTACTTTTTTTTGTAACGCGTAATAACTTAGTTTAGATATAATAAAAATAAAAATATTATTTTAAAATATTTAAATAAAATTAAAATTGTATAATAGTTTATTACACATTTATTCGTTATTTATTCGTAATTTCTAATAAAATTCCTGTGATTGGTTCATATTTTAATTATTTATTTTATTTGAATAAATAGGTAGGTACTTAGTACTTACTTTATGGCACGTTATAGCTGTATGCTCGACGGTCGACGAAAAAATGAATGTCAAATAATAGTATTATTCAAATGTATAATTCTCTAAACTGATAAACTATATAAAATAGATTTCAAAATAAGCTACAAGTTCAGAATATTTCCGTTGTTATTATATTTTTCTTGCGGCTATTTTTGTCATATTTCCCAGTGAAATTCAAATAATTTCTAGATATCCCTGATAAAATGTAGATAAATCTCGTAACGTGTCGTCGAATCATATCAAATTAACTTCATTTTTGTCATTTATTTAAAATCCATTTATTTTATAGTATATTATAAACAAAGGTAATACCAATATATTATGCATCTTTTTTTTTAAGTTGGGGGGTGTCCAAACATGGAGGACACCCCCCCCCCAAATACGCCACTGATTTAATCCACTCGAATGTAAGTAGATCAAATGGTATTAAATATATTTTGTTCTTTCTTTCCACTTCAACTATATATATTTTTATCACTACATTATCTAAATAAAACAGACAGTATATAATGTTTAAACAGTATGTTTAAAATAAACATAAACTAGTCAATCAGAATGAATCCAAATAAATTACCCTCAAAAATAATTTTCTTGAATTCCTTTATTAAAAAATAATTAACAAATTAATAAAGTATAAATATTCCATAATAATAATTAAATTTATAAATTAAATTTTAAGGATTATTTTCTTCATTTCCTCTGTCGCTGGCCAGTCTGAGCCAACCAATCAGTCAATCTAGAAATGACTTATACACTGTCTCAGTAATATTTTGCAAAATATAAACAACATCTGAAAAATTAATTAATTAAATGACAGTTATTATTATTAGTAGTAAGAATATATCACAGGTAGCTGATAAAGATATATCCCTCCCCAACATTAACCATACTTCACATAATATTTATAATAAACAGGGTAACACTAAGACTTTAGGTTATGAAAAAAAAAAATAAGAAATTTAACTGTGTACGCTACCGAAAATGAAAAAAAATTTTTTATACTAGATTACATTGATAAGCATACATATTTATGTGGGGGGTGTGTGATTTTATCAATCTCTTCACCAAAATGTTTTACTTTTATAGTAATAAAAAAATTTAGGGGGTCCTGTAAACAAAATTTTTAAGTTCAAATTTGAGGATCACCCTAATATATATATACAACGAATCAACGTTGAATCATTGTATAACAAACAAATTAATTTAAANTATTAGTTCAAATTTGAGGATCACCCTAATATATATATACAACGAATCAACGTTGAATCATTGTATAACAAACAAATTAATTTAAAATTACGCTTGAATAAACGTAAAATAAACAATTTACTTCTATAGTAATATACACCAACAATTATCTGGTGAAAACATGATGTTTCATTGTACAATTTACAAATAAATATGAAGGAAAATTTGCTTTAAAATATACCATGGATTAAGAGGACGCTACACAGAACATAAAACGTATACAACGCTCCAGAGATAGCGTTGTTTTCCGTATTGGCGAAGACCACGCCCTCCACCATTTCAAAATTATCGCTGCGTGCAATTGTCGTTTGACTTCAGTGCTACATTCTTTCACCGACTTCCGTGTTATAGCTGTGTTTGCGCTTTATTATTAACGTAATACTCGCGCCTAACTAAAAACTATTGCACTCTCTGTGGTCTTAACTCTTTAAGGAATTTGTTAAAAATAAACGTATTGATATATTTGCTAGATTTTAATTTAAATCATACAATATGAACGTTTACTCATGATTAAAAAATACATAATATTTAAATTAGTTAAAATATTTTAAATGTTTATTTTTTATATAAAAAAGATAATTATTACGTAAAACAAATACAATAAGGATAATTATATTAAATATCATGCACACTTCTTTCCACTTTTTTTTTAATTGCTTCTTGTATGTGTTTTGGCTCTCTTATGTCCGTTAGTTNTATTTCCACTTTTTTTTTAATTGCTACTTGTATGTGTTTTGGCTCTCTTATGTCCGTTAGTTCTAAACGTTTTCCATACAAGGACAAATTATTTCTGGCAAAAGACACTCCAAGTAAAATCTAAAACGTCATTCAGTTATTTATGACATTCCCTTTTAAGTAATGAATTTTGTAAATAGTTAATAAAATATTCACATTTTTAATTTTTCCTCCATTTTTGTAATCCAAAATTCATGGTCATATTTAATTACTTGGACGTTTATCCAAATTGGCGTATATATAATAAAATAACAAATTTCTCTACCTGTTATTCGCATTTGGCCCATAACCTGGTAATAATATTTATGCTCTTTTTTTAGTTCAATTTTATTATTTTTAATCACGCAATATGGTAACTGAAAATGATAAACATGTTTATAGTAAAATAAATAGTAAGTAAAATAAAATATTTAACTAATTTTTGTTGGACAGCTTCAACTGCATTTTCTGTGGACCTAGCTACATATGGGCATTTAATTTCTATTATAGCTGTGTTTTCAATCAGGCCATCTAAATAAAATGATAAATTCTTTAGTTTATGTTATAATGAAAATTATAAATAGTACTACCAGGACTTACTGCCAAAAAAGCGTACTCCTTATCAACAAATAATCC